AGTAGTTTTGTTTTCTGGAAGGCATGGAGAATCCAGACTTAAGCTGGCCATACACTGCTCGAATTTTGGGCAAATTCTGCTGGCTCATCTGAATTTCAAGCAGTGTATGGCCCTGCTGGCACCGCTCCATTTGGCAAAAGTTGATTGTTCAATTGACTTATCAAAGGAGCCTGTTGGAAAATTGTCCAATCAGATGCAGGTACTGTTCGGACCAAGACATTCCCATGGGGAAGGGGAGGGGGGGCGGGTGGCTGAGTAAGGGAGATTCGGGTATCCTTGCTCTTAGCACGGATGAAAATCTCTTCGATTTCTTCCTTTCTGCCAGTGTATGGCCAGCTTTACACCAAAAAAAAAAAAAAAACCCTGCATGGGATGGTGCTTACAATCAATATAATAGAAAGGTTGTTTGTATTACAGATCTCCCTATATTGATGACAGTATTGGGTTGATTTATTAAAACTGGAGAGTGCAAAATCTGGTGCAGCTGTGAATGGTAGCCAATCGGCTTCACCTTGTTCAATTAAGCTTTGGGGAAAAAAAAAAAAAAAAAAAAAAAAAAAAAAAAAAAAAAAAAAAAAAAAAAAAAAAAAAAAAACTGGAAGCGGATTGATGTATATGCAGAGCAGCACCAGATTTTGCACTCTCCAGTTTTAGTAAATCAATCGCTAGTTGTTTACAAATATACTAAAAAAAGAGAAAAAAAGTTCAGTCCCATAACCATGTATGAGAATTGTAACAGGCTGGCAGACTTTATTGTGCTCTTTCCTTTCCTTTATGTTAATTGATATTAAATAAGCCACAGAGTTCTTTGCAGCAAGTTATAATGTAGCTCTTATTTCTTTTGGTGAAAATTATGAAACCTTGGCTTTATCTAAAAGTTCAGCTGCTACCTATAGTCCTGGACTACCATTGTTACAACAATGGTAGTCTTCATATAGGTTTAAGGAGCCCAACTAAAGCAATTTAAATAATACAGAGCCCTGCAACCTGCAGAACTGTGGGCAGAGTGGAAATTCTACATAGAAAAGAGCTCCTCTACCTCCCAAGCACTGCAGATAACGTCACAGAGTTGTACCTTAAGGGAAAAACAATCCAACTTACATATATTGCTCAATATCAGGAAATGCCATTTTTTTTTCCTTATTTAACTGCTCCTACACATCCAGCAGCCTCCAAACCTGCTCTGTATGCAAATATCAAGGTTAATTCAGTGCGTTGGGCTCTCTCCCCATCATTTCACAATGCAATGTGCACATCATAGCCAATTATAGAGAGGTGAACTTAATGTAGGATCAGGATGTAGGGATGGGGCATGCTTTCAAAAAGGAAAAGAGATGCTATAGTTAGTATTAGGCCATTAAGGTCACCTGGACCACTTTTCTTTAAAGCAGAACCAAATGGACAACATAAAAAGACTGCAAACAGGCAGGCTCTTTAGAGCAGAAAAGACAAGCAATGTCTTTTCTGACAGAAAGTAAACTTACCTGCTAGTTTGCAATTGTTCCCAGAATGTAAAATGGAGCAGAGCTGCATGCTTACATTTTCTGCACAGTGCCAGTGTGTCAGGATGAAGGACTCCTGTGCATGCGTAGGAATGAGGTCATCCCGTCCTGCCCAATCAAGATGGCCTAACATGGAAAAAACTGGGGAGAAGATACTGGCACCAGCAAGGGACATCATAGGCACCAGAGCATTGGAGCATAGGTAAGTATTTTGTGATTTTAGTTTCACGTGAATGGTGATTTTTCTGTAAATTCATCCATGCCCCTACTATATACTACTTTCTTTCCCACTCAAGTATGCTGCCTCAAAACCTGCTGTGGCATCTGCAAAGATCCCCTGCAAATACCAAAAGCATGTCCTATGGCCATACTGGCATTCTGCACAACTTTTTGGAAATGCAGGGGGAAGTGCATGCACCCTATACCTGGAGATTTTTATTGAGGTTGCAGAATGGGTCAGGGTTGTAGACAAGAGTGTAACAAGGAACCAGACAATGCCTTCTATATAGGGGGTTATTGATAATCTACATATTTCCTTCAAAACTTTAGCTGTTGCCCATTGAATTAAATAAAGAGTACAGCCTCAGCACACTTGCCATCTTAGATCAACTGATTGTATATCAATATAGGTTGCTAAGAGCTACATCCATATGTTAATAAATATGCCTTTGTTAGAAAATTTGTAAAATGAAATATCGGCAGGTCCCAGAAATTTCATCTTTGGCCCTGAAGCATCTGCATTTCCCACATACTGAATTACGCAAATGTAAACTACTAAATTGGATTGTAACCAGATTATGAGTCAACCAAGAGCAGCTATCAACAGTGTGGAATGCAAATCATCTACTTCCAACTAAAAGACAATGTGCGAATAAGATACTGGATCAATCACAAGCATAGCAAATTCCATGATAAATCAAGCAACAAAGATCTGATGTTCAATGTCACTGCTTAGATCAAGGAATCGCAGTACTCAATGGAGCAGGCCAATAATATAAACATCGATCGTTTAAAAGAAGAACTCCAGATTTGCTTTATAAAGGGAAAAAAAAAAAAGAAAAAAAAACACGAATGCAACAAAACATGGCCATACTATAGTCAAAATGTTTGCAATTTGCTGAGATCTGCTCAATCCCATCATATGCAAATGAGTTCATTTCTGGGCAAGCTGAATAGCTGCCATACAAGTCCCTGCTACTATCTATCTGCAGAGGTAAATACTTAAATTCCAGCATCCATGCATCTTTAGGAAGTGTGGAACGTCCCATCTTTAAGCAAGAAAGGGATGCCAGCTTTTATCTACTTTTTTAGGATATAGTTCTGCCTATAGAGTTGTGCAGACGAGGATAGGAAGCCAGAGACCTGGTGTAAGTCATGTTTTTCTCAGCATTTTAAGGACTTTCTTGGTCATTTGTTAAGGCTACAGTTTAAATCTAATAATTGCTTCCTGGAGTTCTGCTTTAAATACCACAATAAAACTTGTCAACATGATCATAAGTGGGGGTAAGCCAACTAGATTTTCAAGTCTCAGTTTGTTACTTTGTCTATTCTAACATTCATTTTAGGTCATAGGACTGAACTTTTGTCAACATAAAAAAGATAAATAAATAAATTGCAGCTTAACCTGACTTTTCTTTAGTTTAATAGTTTTGGTCTTAAAAAAAAAATGTAAACTTGATGTTTCCAATGTGGCCATAGTTTGTAAGGGTACACCAGTATTTGGTAAGTTCTGGATTCTGATGCATTTCTAACAGCGGCTGGCCATAATTTGCACAGATATTGGGAGACACTAGGTAACACTTTGGGAGTCACAGCTGTGGAAATATCACAAACCTCTGGAGCAAGAGGTGGCTTCTATCTAGGGAAAAGGGTTTGGTAATTATTTTGGTTTATTTCAGATTGGATCTCTTTGGGTTCTGTTCATTTTTGGATCTATTTAATAGCCGTAACATGTAGAGTATGGCAAATTCCTGACAGTCTTATGTTTTGAATGCTTTCCATTTAATTTAAATGTTCTAACTTTATACATTTACTTACATGAAAGAAAAAAAAAAACTATGCAAAAAGCTTCTTAGTAAAAGCATCTCACTTGTCAAGAGTTCAAGAGGTAGCAAAAGTGACCAGTCCATCGCATCCTTCCACCTTACATGTTTACATACACAGCCACAATAGGCTGACACGCACACTGACACACACGCACATATACACACAGGAGTACCTAATAGGTGACAAGTCACCATAAACAGCAACATGGTGAGAACCTCCTTTCCTAACAGATAGGCTATAACTGGAAGCCAGTCTGGCAGTAAAGAGAAAAGTTTCCTATATTTTGGAGGTGTGTGGGGTGGAGTAAACAACCTCCTACGATTTAACACTTTTTGGGTCATGTTAACATAACAGGGCACTGAGCACTGTAACAAAGTACTGGGTGCCCTCCGCAGGACAGAAGGAGTTATGATGTGTCTGTTCCTGAGCTCATCTTTACATGAGAAGCTCAATAACATGTAAAAAGTGAGTAGTGAAAAGAAAGAATCCTAACCCGCCACCCCAAAATAACCCTAAACTTCCAGTTCAAAAATTCACAGATTCAAAATGTAAATCAGACAGTCTCCCACAGCCCAGCACTGAGACAAGTACCTATTACAGACAGGAAAACAACAGAGGGAGGCAAAACAAAGAACCTCCCTCCCACTGGCTCACATGGGTGCAACTGTTGGGCAATGTTAGTTTCCAGTCTGTGGAAAAAAGGGCCTTCAGAAAGAAGAAAGGTACCAAGAGGGAACATGCAGAGAATTCACAGCCACGGGATACCAAGAGCCCCAAAAAAGTGCCAGCCCTCCTTCAGCCATCTATACATTGGTGTAAGAAAGGGGCAACTTGGCAGGAACCTATCCAGATGCCCACAGTGGTAACCAGGAGAGGGAGTTGTGAGGTTTCCTTGGTTTTCATTCATGGATATAACTAGGAGGCCAGCACCTCTTAAGGCTGGACAGACGTTGGCAGGGCCAGGATGAAGAAAGGTGTGATCATCACAGGGTGTGTATTAACATGCCTTCAGTAAAACTTCACCAAATGCCCCCTACACCAAAACACTTAACTCCAATGTTTCCCTTGCTGCTAGAATAGTAGGATGGCAATGCTCACAATAGACCTCGGTAAATCTGCAAGCATCACAATGGCCATTCCTTGGCAAGAGTGTCTGAAGTCTTTGTGTAGGTGCTGACGATGTAGAGGCAAAGGGTGCTGGGGATGTAATCTCTTTGTGGTGTAAACTGAAGATGATGTACAACTGGCTTCCACTGTGCCACATGTTGAAAATGTTATTATTCATCACACGTTAAAGCTCAGGTGAGGCATTGCACCCCCTTTCTTCCATCTCTGACACAACTGGAAAACAGGTACCCATAAAGCAGCAAGTCATCAGGAAGGTAAATTGGTTTGTGTGTGTTTGTGTGCACAAGAGAAGCACATTCTTTAGATGTCATAAGAGTCTTTGGTTTAACATGGGGAGGTGTGCATACGCAAGTGACTGATCAGATTGCGCTGCTGGGTGAATTTTCCCCCGCAGAGCTGACATTCATAGGGCTTTTCCCCTGAGTGGACACGCATGTGCTCGGTCAGTCGATATTGCCTTGTAAAGCGCATCCCACACTCATCACAAGCAAAAGGTTTGAGGCCCAAGTGACTCCTCATATGGCGGGTCATGGTTCCTCTCTGTGTGAACATTTTGCCACAGATGTTACAGGGGAAAGGACGGGTCAGCCAGTGCGTTTTCTCATGCTGTCGAAGAGTAGCTGGATCTTTGTAACTTCTCTCACACACTGAGCACTTGAATGGCCGTGATTCATTTGGAAAGGTAGTGTTGGGAGTGGACAGATCCTCTGCCTCCTCTTTGCAGTAGGAATCTTCCTCTTTGATATATAGCTCCTCTTCAGTGTGCGTTTCCACATGAGCATTCAGTTGCTCTGAATTAGGAAACCCCTTTCCACAGGGGATACAGACATACAGGTTGTCTCCAAATGGCACAGTCTCAAATCCATCTTGTCGGTAAACATAGTTGGCACTAGGATGTTCAGTCTCGTTCTCGCTATGCCCACTCTCCTCACTGTTGTCTTTGCCATTTTCTACTTCCTCTTTACACTGGAAACTCTTTTCTGAAGCATAGCCTCCTCCAGAATTTCTCTCTTTTGACATAGGCCCAACAATAACTCCATTGGGCAATGATTCTCCTCGTTCCTCTGGAGACAATTCTCCTTCTTTCCTGTCCCACTCCTTTTTACGGGGACAGTGGCGAAGGATTTTCTTTGGCCCGGATTCAGAGTGGTTTTCCTCCACTTCCATTGGTTCACTGTCTCTTTTTTGGAGGGCGGATTCTTCGTATGAGGCACTGTTGGCTACAGATGCTGAGGCAGATTGGGGAGAACCTGCACAACTATCTGCTTGTACATTCTCTTCTTGTGCAGGTAGGGACGGGCTTTTTTCTTGGAAAGGTCAAGGCCTAGGTCATGGTCACTCCCATTAGTGCTGTTATGAAGGCTGTTGTTGCTCCCTGTACCTCGATTTAAAGGGTGGCTATTTTCCTGGTTAGAATTGTTGATAAACACCTCTTCATCTTGCCCTGCAGTATTGGACAACTCATTTGAGTTGGAGCCCTTGTTATCATCAGATGAGCCGGAGAATCGCAAGTGAGCAAGTTGAGGAGCGGAAAGCCTGTGACTCCTTCCAACTCTGCCTATGCTGGGCACTCCAAGCTTTCCAACAAATGGCTTCCCAGCACGCTTGAGCTTCTTCCTGCAAAGAGTTGCCAAGTCATGGAGTTGGAGGTAGCTTGCTGCAGTGAGAAGAGCATTGAAGTTCTGCTCTCCTTGCTGGTCAGATGTTAAGAGTTTACCAGTGTAGATAAAGTCCAAAATCTGACGGAAAACTGCTGGATTGACCATGTCGGTATCTAGATTGATCAGGTTGTCATGGAGAACAAGAGACTTAAAGTACATGCTGCTGGCGGCAAGGATGTTCTTGTGAGCTCGGAACAGGGCATTTTCCACCACAATGATGACATCACACAGGAAACCTTTGGCTCGTTGCTGATTCAGCTGAAGCAGCAGTTGTTTGGCATGGTTTGGCAGATCCATTTCCCCTTTTCATTCAGTATGCTCTGCCTAAAAAATATAAAAAGAAAAAAAAAAAAAAAAAAAGGATTAAATGTTTAATTTTAAATGGTCTAAATATTAAAAGATTACTGAATGAGTCCATAACAGAATATTCACATCTAAATAGGCCACAATACCCCCACCTAAAAATAAACAAACATTCTCTGAAACACACACACGTACGTCTATAAATTCTAAAAATAAACAGGTAGCTATCAATATTGAGGACAGGCACAGTGGCAAAATGGCACGCCCCAAGAATCCTAAAGTAAGGTGAGCATAAAAATGGTTCTGGGCTGCATTGACTTTTAGCAGTCCTCCCATTTTTTTTAAACAGTGACAAACAGTGACAAAATATCTGAGATTTAAACTTCTACATTGCTCTGCCATCAGAAACAGAAAGAGGTCTTTCCTTAGAGAGGAAGTTCAGTCAAACACTAACTATACTTAAATCTACTCCCACCCCCATTCTAAACCTATTCTGTCTACCCTGTAGAGGAAAGATCTGTATACGTACCTATTTTAAGGTTGATTCGGTCTCATGATCGGGTCCCAGCGCTGGCTTCAGTATAGAAGAGGGGACAGCCGACAGATGCCCCATAGCAAGCTAACGGGTGACATCATCGCCAGTCTCTGCAGCCATTGTCGGTGATCTTTCCTCTTTACTGAAGCTGGCGCTGGGACCCCTTCATGTGACAGGACTGGAGCACCCTCAGAATAGATAAGTATACAGATCTTTCTTTCGCAGGGTAAATAGAATAGGCTTAGAATGGGGGTGGGGGTAGATTTAGGTATAGTTCAGGTTTGATTCAACTTCCAAGTTAACAGTTCAAGAGAACGTCCCATTTCCTTACCACAGTTATAACTTCAGCCCAAACAGCCTTTTAAAAATCCTTTTAGCTTTGGATAAAGCTGAGGAGGGTTGGGACCTTTGAGAAGAACTTTTTTTCTTTTTATGTACAGCTGTTACTGAACAGGGGAAAAGGGGACATATTTCAATCAAAAGTTTGGATTTTCCTTCAATTTTTATGAGATTTCCACGCAATTCCTGCCTTTTCTCTGTGACAGGAAGAAAAGAAATCTTCCAGATGTGGACAAAGACCACTAAAACCGAACTTTTGAAAATACCCAATTAACCCTAACCTTAAACCAAATATTATATAATGCTGCCCAACAGTGCATATCACAAAATACAGTCTAAAATAAATCTATGGAATCTTCATTTCACAATCCACTTAATGTGCTCCCCATATGCCACATTTAACATGATTGTGCTCCTCAAAATTATACAAGCACTCCCCCTTACCTCCCCATTACAAAAAGGCAACTGGGCTTCATGTGTATCCACTCTGGTAATTCCTTTTATTGCAGGATCAATTTGTCTGTTTACTTCCCCCTTTCCACAACAGAAAGATGGTAGTGTTCCAACAATCTACAACTTCTTTTATCTCGAGTATTCTAATTCTATGAGCACTTATGAAATGTGTGTAACAGTTTTTATGGTTGTATTTACATTTTAAATAAGTGGATCACACTATATGGTTTTAATTTGCATTTTTCACTAGGTAATGTTATAAAAACACCATATCCAGATCAACAGGAGACAAAGCTAGCTGTGGATAACCAACGTTACTAAAAACTATTAGTTTCGATTAGAAGCCAGGTAGCTAATGCGCCTTACAAATTACAGTTGGAGCCTCATTTTTGAAGTTCTCTCTAGTGTTTCTCAATCCTGCACTTGCTTCTTGCTCCTAGATCGGACGGGCTGACTCCTAAATTCCATAATAGTTTGTTCATCCCTGATTAAAGGTAATGCAATAACTTAAAATATGTTCATTTGGTACTTTCCTTTTAAAGTCCAGCCAAATTTTTTTCTAATTTAGTTTTGGGTATGGTGAGGTTGGAACGCCTGTTCATTTTATTTAGTTGGCTGTCTTAGGCCTCTTAGAGAAGTTTCCATCTCACTTCCTGCTCTAATGACAACAATTTCATCTAGAGATGCACAATAATTGCAACTGATCAGAAGCTACAGTGAAGAATAGAAATTTGAAGCACGATCCTAGTTGTGATGTGTATATGTGGTAGCCTCAGAAAGTGCTGCTCCACAAGCCACACCCTCTGATGCATTTCACCCCATCCATAAGAGCTTTGTTATAGAGGTCTTAGTCAACCTCTAAGACCAAGTCCCCAATGGGCGGGGCAAAATGCATCAGTAGGAGTGGCTTGTGAATTAGCACCGTCTGAGGCTACCACATACACACATCACAACTAGGATTGGGTCAGGTGAGCAGCTTTTTTTTTTTGCTTCAAATTTCCATCCCTCACTGGATGAGTCCCCTTTCATGCTGGCACCCAGAATATCCTGAATACCAGCAGGGCTTTACACCTCGACTTGAAGCAGCACCATTCACTTCAAACGGATCACAAGCCACAGGTCTGTGACCTTGCTTGCTGGACTGAAATTAGTGATGGGATACTGTCACAAACAAAAGTTACACTTTCATTTGTCGAAGAAAAGCCCTAAAAGTCCATTATACCTTTGTACTGCACCCCCCCCCCCCCCTTGCCAACACATGTGCATTTTAGTGCACCACAACATAGCCTTAAAGTGGATCTAAAGGCTCAAGGTTTTTTTTATCTTCATGCATGTGTGCAGCAGCCCCCGCCAGCCCCCCTAAAATTCTCACTTCCAGCAATGTGCAAAAAAGCCTTGGCTCTCCAGGGACTCTCCCTCCTCATTGACTGAGACAGCAGCAGCAACCATTGGCTTCTGTTGCTGTCAATCAGAGCCAGTAAGCCAATGAGGAGAGAGAGGGGATGGGGCAGAGCCGAGCCACAGCTCTGTATGTGAATGGACAGGTACAGCAGCGGCTTGGGAGCGAGCCTGCTTGGGTGCCCCCATAGCAAGCTGCTTTCTCTGGGGGCACTAGGAAGGAGGTAAAAGCCAGGAGCGCCAGCGGGGCACCCAAGAAAAGAAGGATCAGGGCTGCTCTGTGCAAAACCACTGCATAGAGCTTTTTAATTGCCTTTAATACCACTTTAAAAATGTGACAAGTATAGGAAAAGTATCTTGCAAACAAGGTGGCAAATTTATTAGCATGGGATACACTGCAGAGCTATATATATATACACAAATGTCTTAGGAGTAGATTATCTAGAGCCAATTTGGAACGACAAAAACACCAATCTTCCTATCATATTGTAACTGCTCTTCCATCATGCTTCTTGCTTGCAATGTGTCTTGGCCTTTTTAAATACTCCCAGCTTGACTCACTGCCTTATGCTACAATGTGTTCTACATTATTACCAGCAATACCAGAAATGGAGGGGGGGACTCCACCGTTCTCCGTGCTACAAAAACCAAAAGACAAGGCACACAAGTCAGGAATGCATGAATGCTGCTCAAGCTACAGCAGAGTCAAGCAAAGTTCAGCTGACAAAGTTCTCAGTCAATTTAAACCATATGCAAGGCTTGCCTGCGGGGCCCAGCAAGATGGAGGAGTGGAGAGAGAAGTAGGAAGGATAGAGAGAAAGTGTATATAATAAAAATGTAGAGGAGGGAGAAAAATGGGGAAG